CAAATGAAAATAATGGATTTTTTGTAAGCTTGTGCATAAATTCCATTGAAATAAAGCAAAATAGCAATGTATTCTTACTGTATGTAACAATGGTAGGCAAATATCTAACAAACTAGAACCCCATACCCCCCTAACCTCGTATTTACATATAACAGGTTCCAGAGTAACATGAATACTAAATGTAAACATATACATGTATATAAAATTACATGAAAATGACAATCTTTTAAGTACAAAGCTGCTGTTAAGTTTTCCCAAACTCAATGTAGTCAAACAACAAAATTACATACACTATTTACAACCACTATTAACTATACAACATGCTGAAATGCAAATATGTTGAGGTTTATTTAAGATATTTTACTGAAATGTCTTAAAAGATATACATGTAATTTGAAACATACAAAAACAACATATCACAGCATTTAATCATGGTAGAAAAAACATTTTAAAAAAAAAGATGCTTTGGTTAAATTTGACTGATCCCTATACATTCAATAAACACTTGAACAAGCTTGTTAAAGATGGAAAGATGATGTTTGTGCCACAAGGTAATACAATGGGAAACATTATAAATGTTTATTTTTACAGTATTGATAAGTCATGATTTTTTTCATAAATACCACACAATTTTACACAAAATTTTGAAAATCTACTCACAAATATAGAAATTAATTATATATTTGCGAGGAAAATTCCATTTTTGTGATCCCCAGTAAGTGAAAATCGTATAAGCACCAGGATAACAAAAGGAATATTGCTAACAATTTAATGAAGCAATTTCCAACTTCATTATCTTTACGCTAAGGTATCATGTACTGCTTTTCCTGTATATTTGCAGTACTCGCGCGACAAAGCAAACATGTTTCACTTATGGTTGGAATTAATATGGATTTGTTCTGTATTAACACAAAGAATTATCATGGTCCCAGTACAGCTACCTTAATGAGATTGAATCATATTGTTATGCAGTAATATATGGTACAATATATGAACCTCATTTTCTAGGATTGATTTCATTCTTTTCTCATTAGGAATCAAATGGTATCAATATAATATTATTATTACCCCATTTTCTACTCTAATCTAGGATCATTCTAATTCTTGTCTTCCTGTTATGAACTAAATTAGTCAAATATCATACTCTGCAATGGAATTAGCCACATACTTTAATTCACAACAACAAGAAAAGAATGAAGATATTCCCAGACAAGAATTCCACGGGAGTGGATGTGTCGCCTGCTCAGTGTTTTTAGTAAGAAAAGTGTCTTGTCTTGAGTTATCACGTAAACAGATATGCCAAAACGCGAAAAGTTGCAACAGAAAAACCTGTAATATGTTGAACATTATTGCTTCTAGTATTACCGTACAAAGTTTGAAAGGAATTGATCAAAAAATAAAAAAAGTTCTTGCATTTACTACACAATGACCTTATTTGGCAATAAAAGAGGCATAACTCCGCCAAAAATGCACGTAAACTTCTGAAATGCGAACTTGTCCAAGCTATATTGATATGCAATATGTGTATTGAGTTTGAGTTTAATCAACCCAAGGAAACTCAAGTTACCGCACGGAAACCTGGTTCCGGACGCCGTACCGACGCCGCCAACAAAGTAATACCTATATGTCGCCTCGTGTTGCAGGCGATACAAAAATAACAAAACCTCTGATCCCATTTTTAAGACTAATTTTTGATAAGGTGATCCATATCAGCCACTGGTACAATATTTTAAGCTTATCGACAGGTAAGATGTCAAGATCAGTCCAACCATACATTTATTGTTTAAGTTTAAGCATACAGACAAAAGTGCAAGGGAATATGAATAATTGATTTGACATACAAACACTTTTCTGAAAGTCATATTTTAGAGGTTGTAAAGTGGAAGAATATAGAGACAAATGAATATTTGAGGTAATAGGTGTAACATATGATTTTATATATAGCTACACATAGATGACTGTGAAATGAGAATTTTTCATAGGGCCCACTTTCGTAGTTTCCCCCAGAAAACATCATTTGGTGGGTATAACGCATACAGAAAAAAAAACACCCGTAATTACTTTCTTGACAAATGAATTTGTGGATGAAGAGACCCACAAAATCAACAAAACTGAAAAACACAGGAAAATTAGTGATTTTACAGTAAGTGAATTTCTGTTTCTCGGAAGCTTTTTGGGGGTCAAATCAAAGGTCAATCTATTCAAATTATTATTGCAAAACTTAATCTATTCTTGATACTTCAAACCAAGGAAATGTTTGCCGCCGTTTCACTTTCACCTGTTTTTACCTTCATGATGAGGTTAGATTTATTGTTAGAGCAGACACCGGTAAACAACATATATAAACATAGTAATCAAATGTTTAATTAACACTGGGCAAATACTGATTTTCCCATCGTAGGGCAAAAGTATCCTGTTATACAGTAAATGTAATACATTAAGAAAACTTACTTGAAGAAATTGACTTCTTGAATATAGGGTCTACTCTCTAGAAATCAAAACTGCAAGTCTAGCCTAATCTTATGCTAGTGTATATGACAAAGTCTAAGGTTGATTCATAACCACAATCAGGAATTTCCAAAATGACTACTGTTTTTTAGCAGATGACATTTCTAAAATAAAAATGAAATGCTATACATTGATATAGCACACCAAACGCATGTCAGGAAAGTAACATATAATTACATTTAAATAAAGTCATCCTTGATATTCCAGGGGTTACATTTACACTCTCTACATGTCTGGAATATGTCGTGATAAAATTGCAGGCTCAGTGTGTGCCACCTTATCAACAGTACAAGTAGGCTAGATTGATCCTTTGATGTACACCCACGGCAGGGTAATGGTTAAATTGACTGGCTTTGAAGTCGCCCAAGCGATTGGTCAGGTGTTTTTTTTAACAGAATCAAATAGCTAACCGTTTGCCTTCAATTTTGCTTTGACATATAATGATATTCCAGGGGTGCAGGGAATGTAAGTGAGTGTATACTTAACTACTGGAGAATCGTGAATAAAATTTAGTATGTCTACAACATAGCAGGGCACGGAAATATGTGGGAAAAGACTGTAACTTGGATTATAAACGTAAATAAAATAATGTGATATATGTAGCAAGTTTTGTCATGTCAAGGCTTTTACCAGTAAGATTTCTGTCAATTTTCATACATATATAGTATTAAAAAATTACCAAAAAGGTAGACTTTTCAAGTGTTTAAGTAATTAATGACATGTTTTGCATTCTTTTTTACAGTTGTAATTGAATACGGAAAACTGAATCATAGATGATGTCTAAGGTTGTTATTGTAATGGCATGGTACATCAATTGGTCAAATCATGTAAGGCAAACCAGGAAAAATCATGTTATATCCATAATTTCCAAGGAATATTGCTTTGAAAATATATTTGACCTGTTGTTTTAAAGTTTTAATTGGAATATCAAATGAGGTTTCAAAAATTCAGATGTGCAGGTATATATTATCAAATTTCCTTGTGATACAGCTAATTTACAGGTGTGAGCAGCGCCACCTGTACGGTGAGAATCATCTAGTATAAATAGTCCATGCAGTGGCCAACACATGTACATGTATGTGTAGTGTCGGTCCACTATTGTAAATTAAAACTACTTAAGGTTAAGGGTACCACTGCATCAGCTATTATCGCAAAGAAGAGTTCCAGTCGTGATTAAATATTCACCTGGAGTTTTCTCCCTTCTTCATAGAAGATGAAGCAGTCAAAATGAGATTTTCTGACTTAAAATAATTTCCCCTATTAATATAAGTAATTGATAGGATTTTCAGTCAATAACTTGGACATTCATTTTGATACTGTGATATTAAGCAATATTGGTAAAGTGTAGGCTTGACAATGTCAATGTCCTGAGCATTATTTCAATTTTCTTTGTTATTTCTATTTTCTTTGTTATTTCTATTTTCAAAAATTCAAATTTCTATCACTATAACTCTGTGATATGCATAACAAAATGTGTTTGTTTATGAAATACATCTTTTGAAAGAGTTTGACTTGTTGGTACCCTTAACCTTAACCCATTCACCCCTAAAGTCCAATTTAAACATGTAGGGGTGAATGAGTTAATTTTCCAGAAAGATACATTCAACATTTTTCATTTACAGAAAGTTCACATACATAACTTTTTTAGTTAAACTCATTCATCCCTACATATCTAAACTGGACTTGCCCAGTCTTTGATTTGGTAAGGTTCAAATATGACTTTAGGGGTGAATGGGTTAAATGAATACGAGAAAGAACACAGTCTTCTATATGTCATAACATTGTTTGTTTAAGCAGGTCAGTCTATAGTGAGGACATTGCAGTTTTCAATTTATTTAAAATATTTTCATACAAAAAACTCAATCACAGCAAATGTACCAAATAATTACTTTAACAAAAATAAACTTAAACTTGTTATTTTGTGGTGCCGACAGTAAAAATGACAAAACGAAAATTTGAGCCAAATGTAAATTACCGTAAGGATGTAATAAGGTCATTTTAACACAATGAACATCAAAATAATTTAAATACAAGTTTTCAAAATTATTCCAAAATTATTTGCAACACATACATACTACTATTCAACATCTTTTGAAACATATGTTAAAGGACCGGAATAATACACAGCCAGACCAGGGTTCTAACCAAGGACCATCCGAACTCTAGACGAATGCTCTACCAATTAAGCTACCTGGTCGCTAATGATCGACCCAGTCCAGTTCCACTATACACGTATGTTCCTTTGGTTTACTTTTTATTATTTCAAAGGTACATTTCACAGACCCCCACCTCATGGTTTATAAATGTGTATTATGTTTCAATATTATGATTAGGTGACACAACTCATTCCTACATCCTCATTGGCTGGATCATAATCACGTATAGGTTGCGATTTTCGATATTGACTCAGAGTTACTATTTTTAGAAACATCTTTAAAATACCGGTAATAAAAACATCATAATTTCATATTACTTAAATATAAATATAACAATTAAGGACTTTTATTTCGGTGAATACATGTTTGTATGGACCTGAAAAGGGTACATGTATATTAACAAGAGACAGAGTCAAGGTCAATATCATGTTTTCAGGTTCATATAACCACATATCAACTTTAATAAAAGTCCATAATTTATCATTATATGAATGTATGCATCCATGAGTTGAGGAGTTGAGGATCTGAACCATACCTCTTTGGCATTTACTATGTCGTAAATCAGTATCAGATATTCATTTCTTCCTTATAGTTGATCCTTATATCTGAATAGTCATTGCTAACGACAATTCATTATGCAAAATTTTCCACATGCCACCCAAAGAATCTACTAATCTCATAGATCTACACATGTCATGTACTGACTTAATATATCCTGTATCATGCCTGACAGTATCTGTGACTGAATATGAGCTCAGCATTGATTGTGATGTCATAATGTGATGATGTATGCCTTCTGATTGTGATGTCACAATCAAATGGTAATGTAAGAATAGCACCCTTCCTCTTAACCTTAAACCAATAATGTTAACATGTCTATAAATGTAATTTTCTTCCTTATGAAGAGTTAAACAGACGAGATATCAATTTGGCATGTTAGGCATAAATCTGAATGCTATTACACTTTAGACAAGAATGTTGCTCATTCATTGACCAAGAATGTTCCCATGGTAACCCTCCCTAAGATTATAGTAGGTCAATAAGTATTTTATATAGTGGGTTAATAAGTATTTTATATAGTGGGTTAATAAGTATTTTATATAGTGGGTCAATAAGTATTTTACATTAGGTGACACGGTTTTTCCTACATCCTCATTGGTTACATCATAATTATAACATGGAGGTCTATGGTTTGTGATATTGACTTGGTGCTATTTTTAGAAACTGCAGGTCAATATTCTCTTTGTGACATCACTACAACTGCAATGTCACAATATTCATATTATACATAACAATTATGAACTTTTATTTTGATGGATATGTGGTTGTATGGACCTGAAAAGTTATATTGACCTCAACTGTCTTTGTATCAGGTTATATCACTTTCCCAGGTCCATATAACCACATATTCACCTCAACAAAAGTTCATAACTGATAAATAGAGGATCCATTATGATGTTGAACACAAGACTAATGTAACAGCAGGCATTATTTTTTCAATGCCTCTGCTAGAAGTCGAACCCGGGACCTCTTGTTTACTAGTCTTACGCTCTACCGAATAAGCTAAAGAGAAATCCCCCCTAGCCAAATCAGTAGGAAGCGCCTAGTATTTTACTAGGGTGACATACTCCTCCTCCAGGAAAGAACTCGTCCCTAGTTTTCCAGGGGTCACAGCAATTCCTTTGCAAGTACCGCCAAGTGTTTTTGTCATATCTCCTGAGTCCCTACGTGGGCGCCAATGTAACAGAGGTCGTTATTTTTCCAATGCCTCCACCAGGAGTTGAACACGGAACCTCTACCCTACTAGTCTTACACTCTACCGAATGAGCTAAAGAGAAAATCTCCCTAGCTGAATTGGTAGGAAGCGGCTAGTATTTTACCAGGGTGACATTAATATCATATCTAGCCAATAAAACCCTCCCTAACTACTGAGATATCCATTATATGAAACTTGTGATATAAAACTTTCACTTAAATACATATCTAATCATCCTCAAACAAGAATTCCAGCATTTCAGGGAACTGCTTTGGAAGGAATTTATCTTTACAAAGTTTCTGGTATTGTTTCATGTAACTTTCCGTTAGTTCCCGAAATGACAGAAACATGTTCATAACTTTGGTAAACCAATGTACTTCCTGTTTGCCATACCGTTCCTTCAGCACATGGCGCAGATAAGAAATCAGAGTCAGTTGTATTTTTTCCACTTTGTCTGGGTTTTCCAGTTTACAACGATCTGAAAAAAGACAAGATGGATTTAAACCTCTTCATAATAATGCTCAGGAGAATGTTTGTATGACTCCTTATTATAATAATAATTTGAGGTTCTTATTATAAACCGCTTTATCACAACCTAGTTCGTAGGGCATCTCAAAGCAGTTCATTGATTATTAGCCGTGGTTATAAGGCCTTTGCAACCAGCCAATATCTTTCTTTACTCCATGGGGAGCATACAGCCGGTGCTGCCATTTTGGCGCTCACAGCTAGCATTCAACAATTCTAGCACTGCCCAACCACATACTCATTTACAGCTGAGTAGACTGGAACAAGCGGAAGTAAAGTATCTTGCTCAAAAATACAACACAGTGCCGTGCAGTGACTCGAACCCGCAACCCTTCGGTCACGACCCTGGCGTCCTACCACTAGACTACCACACCTCCTTCACTCATGTCATTACACCACTACCTATTTGAGTGACACGTGATATTTACCAGTTTCTAAACAAATAGTCCAGTCAATTTACAGGTTGACGTCAGTCTAATTGTAACAAAACTTATTTTAAAAGGAAAAGATGACCATGACAACATGGTGCTGGGTACAACGGCTTTAATCCAAGTTTATGTTGACTGGTTTAGACACATGAGGCATGTCGTCATCAGATCTCCCACTCCCCGTATTTAAAACTTACTTTTGTGTTTTTACAATGACTGAGATCTATGTTATAACAGAAAAAAAATGTGTACCAAATTAAACCTTAGGGAAAATGTATTTTTTGCATTATATATGACCAACTTTTAAGAGTAATATATCTAACTCTTGTGCTATATTGTGTGTATTGGAATTTAAGATTACCGGGTCTTTAATTTGGTCATTTGTCATCATCATGAAATGTCAGGTATCATACTTTTCAAAACATAATAACTCATCAATGAGCACAAAAACCTCATTGATTCAATTTGTATTTATTAAAAACCTGATTCTCTTTGCTGTTTTTTTGCACTCGACGACTTCGACGTCCGGCCAGGCAAAACATGGTTTTGAAGTGTGCCAACCATCTCAATCAACACTAAATGTTGCAGAGGAACTTCTCAATTTCTGCATCAATTTTGTAAATGAAAGTAGGCGTCAGTCAAGTAACTTACGAACATTAAGTGTTAACTTTAAGTTCTAGCCAAGTAAATATAATATCATGACAAAATTGAAGGTTCACGGTAAGCTATTTGATTTGTTTTAGGTATAAAAACCTGACCAATGGCTAGGCTGGTACCTGTCCTATGAAAATTACAGAGAAGCTACATCTAACATCAACATAGGTGTCAACCTCCAATGAGGGAGAAAGTGTGTGAAACGTGACTGAAACTGCTTTGCTCACTCAATTTATCTTTCCCTTTTTAGGTATTTAAATAACTAAAAGCATTTATTTGATCAGACACACCTGTTATGATCATTACACACACCATGTAGTAACTAGGAGATCATTTGACCACAGGATGTAGATTTTGTGTTTGTGTGAGTTTGGACTTGAAAAAGTAGTTTCGAGGGAGATCGGTAAATTTTGGTCCATTTTTCCGTATTTAACCTAATTTTACCCTTATGCAGCAACCCAATTCATTTGATTTTCATGAAGGACATCAGACTAGATCTATTTGAATCACAAGCAAGGTGTAGCGTAATGGTCTTCAATTTTGTCATGATACATTCCAGGGGTGCAAAGAAGATATGCACATGGAGAGCAGAACCATGGACTATGAGGATTCTTTACTGTTAACTTACCTCTGAATAACAGAGATATGGCCAGTACAAGCGCTCTTTCCTTCTCACTGAGATTGAGGCGCCGTATGACTCGGGAGAATTCGAACCAAGACAGCATTATTTCCTTAGGAAAGTAAAAACTGGCTTCGTTGATATGGTAAACATCTCCACCAATGGTCAGTACCATCTGAAGGTCAGGATCAACTGCCCGGTACTCCAGTAACATGAAAAACTCAAAGCGTGCCGCTACAAATCAAATAATAAAACATTCATTAAGTGTAACAAGAGGCCCAATGGGCCTACATTTCTCACCTGCTTTTAATCTCACTTTAAAGCTTAAAAGATGACCAAGGTCCAATATATTTCAATAGCCTAAATAAAGCTACAGACTAAATACATTATATCATTACTTATGACTCTTGAGTATTCAAAATAATATGTTACAAGATTCTAACACATCTTGCCCTAAAGACCTTGAAAGTCTAACCAGTTCATTCAGATGAACAAACTTGGAAGCCCCTAATCTCAAATTTCATTATCCTGTCACTTTTGGTTATTTTGTAGTCTAGTAGCCAAGAAGGCAAAAGGCCTCTAGTTAAGGAGTTGGTGGTCTGGCTCTGGCAACTTTTATTTGACTTTTGTTTCAGTAGGTACACCCTAAACCACAATCATTTTTGCGGGATGCCAAAAAATATTTTGAGCCTTATATTTTTTATAGCCTAATTTGCATAAATTTGAATTTTCGAAGTATTGAGGGGATAGGGCTATGCCAGATGGTCTGTTTCCCATTTAAAATTATCTTGGCTCCTTTACCTAATTTTAAATGAAAGGCAAATGGTTAATACACATTATTTGACCCTTGTGACCTTGAAAATTGGTCAAGGTCATTTTCGTTTGCAAACTCTGTCAGGCTCTAACCAAGAAAGCTACCAGCCAAATATCATGACTCTTTGCCTTTCCATAAGAAATTGTTTAAAGGAAAAGTTGACAAGACAACAGATGGAAAAAGGGACAATGCACCACTAAGCTTGCTCGCCCTTCTGGCAGGGGAGCTAAAAAAAAGACTTACAATGATGTTCTATGTGGTATATAGTGGGTAATGAATTGTGGAATTTTGAATATTGTTGACATCTTATGCCTTGGTAAATTATAATAGCAATAGTTTAGTAGGTCAAATAAATACAGCCAATCAGGGGACGGCAATGAAAGAAAGGCAACAGCAACAGGCCCAAAACCTTTACAGGGTTTAGCTGAGGAGTAAGGACTGATAAAGTGTGACTCAGATGAGATTTATAACTAATTATAACAACACTGTGTTTATTGGCCATGGCGAGAACAATCTTCAGTAAACAAAACTGAGAGGCAGATGACACAAGATACAGTATATATGTAGCGGAACTGGACTGGGTCGATCGTCGGCGACCAGATAGCTCAATTGGTTGAGCGTCCGTCTAGAGTTCGAAAGATCTCAGGTTCAAACCCCAGTCTGGCCGTGCGTTTTTATTCTCCTGTTACATATATTCTATGTGTTAGCAATGAGAAAAATGATGTAATGTGCGGGCTGTCACCCATCCAGCTACTGTCCACGCTGGAGGTTGCTGAACTACTGAACAGGTCCCCTGATTATACCCCATTACTGAAAAAGCTAGCTTGCCAGTAAGGCAATATTTCCCCTTCATATTCCTTAGCTGTTACACCATTCCCCCTCTGAGAAATCTCGTCCTGAGACTTGGCCTGGGGAATCCCTTGTGACCTCCCTGTGTACCGATGCACCTTCCCTAACCACCGGGAACTGGCCCTACATGATCACAGAGTCACTCTGCTGACACCAAATGTAACGTGCGGGCGGTCACCCATCCAGCTACTGACCATGCTCAACATTGCTGAACTAGTGAGCGGGTCCCCTAGTTATACTGCATTACTTGAAAAGCTAGCTTGCCAGTAAGGCAATATTTTCCCCTCATAATCCTCAGCTGTCACAATTGTTCCCAACTGTACAATACAACTGAATAATCAGAAAAGAAATACCTTTGAGGAGTGAGGACTGATCTGGTACAGGAAGATCAGAGAAATCCGGAATGACACGTGAGAATTGGACGTAATGTTTTATTGTTCCTTCAAAGAAACTGCGACACCTCTGCAGACGGCCCTGCCTTCCATCAACGTCCAGACCTGTGGCTTCGTAGAAATGGTTGTAATCCTCAATTGAGACTGGCTCCATCGAACCAAACATTTCTTCCTTCATACGAAACTTATTCTACAACACAAATTCCAACACTGTGTATCTCATGCGGAAGTACCCAAGTGTACATCGTATGAGATATGTCCTGCATAAAGTTAAAAACAATGGACAAAGGCCATAACTCTGTTTATAGTAAGACACAAGACCCAATTTCACCATCCCAAGAGATATTTGCATACAAAATAAGTTATAATTATAGGTGAAGTAGTTTCATATATATCCTTTCTAGTAATACTAGCAGGGGTCTAAAAAGTGTAGTTATTATAAATTTGCTAATTTTCTGATTACTGACAAAAATACAAATAACAATAATTTGCTAGTTATATACAAAATTACAAATGTGATTACAATTAATTATATACAGTTTTCTAGTTTTTTTTCTGTTTGTAAGTATTCTAAACCTATAATATGATGTGACAAAATTTGAGGCTTCATTATTTGTGGGCTCATCATGATCACAGCTAGTGAAAATAGCAAGCAGAGAGTGGAAACATTTAAAACCTCTTAAAAATCCCAGGTATGATACATGCATAGAATCTGGTGATTCTGCGGGATTATGAAGGTCAAGTGTCTAAGCCCAAGGCATGTAACTTTTTGTTACATATATATATATTTACAATTATCCCATTTTCAATTAACTCTATGGGAAGTCAGCCTGCATTATCTGGTCACATGACCATGGTTTCCGTGATGTCAGTGTTAGCAACCACTCCTATTGATATGATAGCCGCCATCTTGTTGTTTTCGTTTATTTCATACAAGTTGCATTTTGAGGGGTTCTGCAGACAATGAAGACATCAAGTGGAAGGTAAGTTCTTACTTTTGAATTAGAATGTTCTGCACATATAATTAGAGCATTTACCTGCATTTAACAATTGTCGCCTGGTTACATTTTTCCATCGCGACTTGTTTGGAAAGTTTAACGGACGTCATTCTATTTATCTGTCACCAAGATTGCATTCATATTGGCTGTAACTGCAATCTGACAACCTTTTAATCCTTAAATATGACCTCTTATGTAACGCATGCACACTCTCATGAAACTAAACGTAATTTTGGGTTTACATATATCGGTATATAATTCTAGTGCATTCTGGCTTTACACCAGAATGTTGATTAAAAAGATATTTAAATGTATGTCCAAGGTCATATGAATTGAACAAATTACAAACGTATGTTCATATACCTGTAAATGAACAATTTGTACGAACACTCACCAAGGCTGTTGTATGTAAGGAGTGAATTTCCTCGTCTGTCAGTTTTGAGGACACTGGCGAAAGGTCTTCAGCACATTTTGTAAGCCTAGGAATTAAATCGTCCAACACAGCTTGAAGGCTCTGGCTATCTGTACCGGCCTGTATATGCCTGCAATCTTTGATTGACTCAGATTGCAAATCAGCAGACAATTCCATCAGGTCACGATCCTCGCGGATATGAATTGTAAATGGGGAATCGACAGGAGTGTTCGACATTGCAGAATTTTCAAAATTGTCCGTGTCACTGGGACTGGTTAGTGATTCGATTCCCGAATCTGGACTCTGCTCAGGCTGACTGGTGTGGTTGTCTTTTGGTGGTTCCACGGGCACTGGATTGTCTTCCACTTTCTGTTGCAACTTTTGTACTTCAATGATGGCCTTTGTCCGTTCAGTCAATGTATAACGGCCCTGACGAACAGCTACACATACAAATACAAGCGAGACATGGAAGTATGTGTCACAGATCAAGGCAAAGTCACAACTTGTCTACAGCTTGATTATCATAACCAGTTATTACCTTAAATTTTCAAGTTAATATTAATGAGAATTATGAAAAAAAAAAAAAAAAAAATTGTGTTTCTTGTCAATAGATAATTGTTATTAATTCTTATAAGTGCACCTTAAGCAGAAACTTTTAGTACTGTATTCACTGAAATAACCAGGGTGCTTAAAAGTTTGCCTTAAAAGGGAGTATTTATATATAATTACATGTATCATAAAATGTAAGTTGAAATAGAAAAAGTTGTGTAACTTGAACCATTGTTTCCACCACAAACATTCCAGTGTGGCTGGAGATTTGGATGTCAAATGTTTCATTTGCTTCCCAGGAAATCCAGCCATGATCCCAAGACTTACAATTGTAAAATTCTGCCTTGAAGTGTAATTACTATAAATTATTGACAAGGCTTACATACTTCAAATTCACAAATGTTTATGCATTTCCTGTCTGTAGGAGATCGTTTTGAGTAAATATCTATATATACAACTTTATTTAATTAAATTTGAATATTAATTACCATGTACTGGCTGGAAGATTTGCATTAACTTGATGTTTGGTCAATTAAGAATTTGAACCAGGCTCTGATCCTCTTACTCTGTTCTGGCTCTGCTTCAAGGCCATTCATTTGATACCCCTGAAATTTCATAATGAACTATTCCAACCTTTGAGTTGGAAGGGTTCAAATGTGTCTTCAGGGGTTACGAGTTAAAGTATTAGAAAGAGTATAAAATTGAAATTATAATCTTTAAATTCATACCTTTCTTTGACATGCCCAGTTGTAAACACTTTTCCATGCGGCAGGCTGAACAGTTCCCCCTGGGACTGTCGGTGATAACGCACTTTCCCCCTTTGACACATTTATAGGGTTCCTTCCGAGAAAGGTATCTACGGAAAAAGCCCTGTGTGCAAACAAAAACAAGATTGTGGGTTGTACATTTTGAAGATAATTTCAATTCAGACTCAAGAATATATCAGATCATACAACAGTATATTCCCAACACAAATAACAGATCTAATAGGCTGCAATGTTTATATACAAAAATTATGTAATCCTTGTTAAAACATCTATAAGCTTACAAGCACCCAAGTCATTTTTGCCGGCAGTTATATTTTGAGCTGAAAATGCTGAAAAAAAAATCTATTCATATATTTTGTGCATCAATTTCTCTTTTTCCCTCAAAAACAATATCTGGTTCAATTTATTCCGAAAAATGACCATAAAACCTAGAATTTGTGATGTACAATATAATACAATTGAATTGGTAGAAATCTCATTTTCTAATCAAAAAAACAAATGTTATATTTATTTAAAAAAAATAATACCTTGTAGATCTAAGGTATTTACAGCGTATAATAGCTCACTTAAACAAATGTGTGAGCCATGTTTCAAGTGTTTTACCTTGCATGCTTCACATGAGTTGACGCCATAATGGATCCCTGATGCCTTCCCATCACATACTTTACAGGGAGGCAGTTGTAACGCAGCCGTCTTAAGTGATATTTTTTCTGTCATGATTAATGTTGATATCTACATCTTCACAATGTTTAAATCTGTGTAGTAAAGAAAAAAATGGTTAATACAGTATATTTTGAGCCGACAGATTTCATTTGCATGCCAGGAATTAAGATAATCTATAATTAGCAAGAGGTCCCATAGGCCTCTATTGATCACTTATTTTTATTTGTTGACTTGTATGCCATCTTGAATTAAAAGAGCAACAATTGGAACATGACATACAGATATTTATTAATATACAATAAAGTAGCCAAAGTTTCCTCTGGCCCTTAAACACCAGACTTAGACATTTTTACATATAGATGTCTGGTGTGGGGCCAGAGCACACTGCAATTCCGTCTTTTCGTATTGCAGAGTTATCTGCTCTTGTGAGCAGGTATTGATTGTTACTTCATTTGTTTGTGAGAGTAAAGTCATCATTTTTTAAGAAAACGACGTAATTTTCTCACAAAAACTAATGACGTGACAATCAATACCTGCTCACAAGAGAAGATAACTCTGCAATACGCAAAGATGGAATATGAAAACGTGGAATTCTCCAACACCGTTTGGTATCGGAGAGTTATGAGGTGCTGACAACATAATCTACTATGACACAACACAAACCTCACATATATTGATAAACGGATTATTTATTGATCCAAATCAGCTCTTATTATTACCAATAGCTGCTAAATTCCTTCAGTAGAGTCCTTGATTTTTTTCAATCGTTCAAATTTGTAGGTCATGAGGTGACTAATCAACAAACCGTACTGATCCCTGCCAAAAACAAAATATATTTGGCCCCACACCAGACATCTATATGTCAAAATGTCTAAGTCTGGTGTTAGGGCCAGAGGAAACTCAGGCTAACAATATAGAAAAGATTTTTTTTCGGGCAAGAATGGCATATGCATAGTGCGATAATATGTCAAAGACGGTTTACACTTTACCATACTCGATATCCAGTGGTTATGGTCACTTTCGCTCTATACACCCCTGGAATATGTCAAAGCAAAATCGAAGGCTCTGTGTGCGCCACCTTGTCAATGAGACAAGAAGGCTAGTTTGATCCTTTGATATACATCAAAAGAATCTCTACCTTTACCTTTACCTCTTCGTCAACACCGTTGTTAGCTTGAAGTAGCTATAATGTAGGCGCATCTTGGTTCGGTAACATACTATTAATCAGTTGTGTAGCATAAAAACTGGGATAAAACTTGGACGGTATATTTTTCCAAAAAGTGTTTAAACGAGATTTAAAACAGTTCAGAGATGGGGCTTCTACTACTGAGATGGGAAGGGAGTTCCAAGAATCCACCACTCTTCTACTAAAAATATTTTGAGTGACCCTGGTCCTGCTCGGTTTTTTTAATAGTTTTTTGTTGTTTCCCCTTGTTGTTGTTTGTGCAAAGGTGAATAATTTATCAAAAAATATATAGCTTATCCAAAACAGACTATCTGTGAGTTAATCAAGTAATTGAAAGGACTTTGAATCATATACAATCCATATACTTTTTGAATTTCATAGTATCTGAGTATTTAATTTAACTGAAGGTTCTTCTCCAGCATTGTTATATAATTGATACTGTTATGTTTAAAAAAAAATACTAACATTTTTGAAAAGTAATTTCGAATTTTCTAAATATTTCCTATTAAATTTATACACATGTATATGATATTAATAACACCATTTTATGACATGAATAGAATTAATATAGTGAGATTTATTATTATATTTCTAACTGCTTGAGTCGTATGTATATGTTTATATGATATACCCGATACAAAATATATAATAATATAAATATAGGTATCATAAGTAATGACGACATAAATATATATATATATTTAGTCCGATTCTGACCCGATCATATCATCGCATTTTTTTTTTATCAAATATACCTTATAACCGATAAGGATAATTAAATATATACAATAAATATATAAAAATAAGTCCGATCCTGCCCCGTTTCTGTCCGTTCCTGTTAATCGTCGCCCGTTTCTGTCCGTTCCTGTAAATCGTTGCCATTCCTGCCCGATCCTTATCAATACAATACCCTTAATTTGTTGCAATTCTTTTATCAAATACATCTTATACCCGATAAAAAATATAATAACATAAATATATAGGTCTCATAATTATATTTATAACGACATAAATGTATAGATATAATTGATTTCTGCCCGTTCCTGCCCGTTTCTGCCCATTTCTACCCGTTCCTGTAAATCGTCGAACCCGATGAAAATATGTGTTTTACGTAAATGAATATTGAAGTCCATATGTTGGATTGTTTGACCACATAGCAGTGGCGGATCCAGAGACCTTTCTGGGGGGGTTTCCAAATTTCCTGGGGGGGGGGTTCCATGTGGGGAAAAATTGAGGAAAATGGTGAAAATATATGATTTTTAAAGAAAATTCTCAGGGTGGGGGGGTTTCCTGAAGCCCAAAAAACCCCTCTGGATCCGCCACTGCATAGGCCATCTGTTTTAGAACGCTTTAACCCTCTATTCCATCCCTCCGGCCCCCCGCCCCCAAAATAGCTTATAGGAAATGTTAAATGTTGTATGAAGAAATGTGTTTTACCTCGAAAACATTCACTAATGAAAATATAAAAAACATATACCATAACTGTAAAATGAAACCGGAAATATGGTCATAATAAGTGAAAGATTGTCAACTTGATCATGTCAATCAGTTTAGGTTCGCATTTAACATTATGTAAGGTGTTCTCCTTTTGTATTTCGGTCATATAGGTTTATTACGCAATACAGTTGCTCAAGTGTGTTATATATAACCAATTGCGAAATAAAAACACCAGTTTGAAGTTTAACTTGAATGTCATGTTCTAAAATAGAAATGATCAAGTTTGATATTGAAATATCTATATTAATATGTCTTTTAAAGTTATGTTATAATATAATTATATAAATATTCCTTCTATGCTAAATCAACGTTTTTGTTTAAACATACAATTGACACGTGAAAATACTTACCAGGAATTGATCAATAAACAGTCTTGACTGGCATTGTTATTACTACAGCATTTCCGTTTCTGCCATTTTGTTTGTCACGTGACTTAGGTCACGATCTGTGCTGCCTTCCTTTATTTAGCGTAGACGGCCACATCGGATATTTTTTCTTACATTTAATATTGACACAACATGACGTAATGGCAACTTTGATTTTCAATCAATGACTAGTTACGTCAAAATCTCAAAATAAAAATTCAGAACAATTTACAATATGGTTCACTAAAGTATCAAAATAAATGGGAAAGAGGAGTTGTTGCTGTTAGGTCATTATCTAGGCACAGGGTTACGTTACAATCACACATATGCTATACCGATATGTGCCACAACACACAGGTGTATGTTTATGTGTGTTGTGACCCATATCAGTATAGCATATGTGTGATTGTAACGTGACCCTGTGATCTAGGCCACGGACGTCGACTTAGATAACAATCTAATCTAATTCCGTGTCTAGGCCTAAGTAGGCCTTTAAAAAAAAATGATGGGGCACAGATATTTCCTCAAAATGTCAACAACATCTGTACATATGTGTATTATTATTTATTTTTTTAATTTTCAATATGATGTTAATCGTGACATTTTGCGTTTGTTTGAAATTTAAGTCCTATAATTATCCATCGAACGGCATTGCTACTATATAACCCTACCAAATTCAGTTGGCTATCACAGGCGCGGATTTAGGGGGGGGGGGGGGGGGNCCCCCCCCCCCCCCCCCCTTTTTTTTTGGCGGCGGACTGACCTTTTCCGGGCCGGCCCATAATGGTCTGATCGACCGGGAATGGAACATATTAACATTTTAAAATGCATCAAATAATGCACGGAGCTTGTATAAAAAAAATCTGGGGTTACGCCCACACATCCCATACGGCATCCTAGCAAATATTGTGGGTTTCCGTTATCTGATATTTTTACTATATTTTCTTTATTAAAACAATATTTGTTGGCATCGCTACGCTCGTCTACTTTGTATCTTGACCCTAAAGTGTGTTTTTTATTTTACCACCTCCGCAAAACCCCAAGTTGCAACTTGCAACGCTCGGCGGAAATATACTAGCATAAGTTTCATAATTATATTATTGACCGCTCGTTATAGATGATCTGAAAATTAATACTTTTTATTGTAACCTT